AACAGAAGCAGGAGAGAAATCGAAACAACGAGCACATAATGGCATTCATGAAATCTACACAAGGACTTGTGGCCTGAAACTGGAATAATCGAACACAAATTATATGCAACCGTTATTATAACCCGGGTGTTCACGCACGGACACTTCTTTCATTCATCAAATGCGAATACACTATGGTATGTAATTCAACTGAGTGTTAACCATAGGACAGTGAGCAGCACGTTACATTCTCCATATTAGATTATATTAACCACGGTACATTATCCCACTACTAGTTATCACGGAGGATAGAAATTACCTAGCATAGATAGATTAGAATAGATAGATAGATAGATAGAATAGGTAGATACTAGACTCTCTAGAAGGCGGAGGTAGATAGGTAGATAACATTATGATACTGAGACAGATAGATAGAATAGATACGCATCAGATAGACGGTGAAAACAAATGTACTACGATAGACCCGACTAAGTTAACCTACCCATCAGCAACACACATTACCATACGGTAGATTAGAATAGAGATAGATAGATAGATAGATAGACTAGAACTAGACGCCAGAAACTATTTATACGATAAGCATAGATAGATAGATCAGAACTAGCGGTAGACATAGGTAAGACCTAGAATACCGTAAATAGATAGAATATAGATAATAGGATAGATAGATAGAAGATAGGTTAGGTAGATAGACAAAATAAAAAAAAAAAAAAAAAAAAAAAAAAAAAAAAAAAAAAAAAAAAAAACAGAAAATAGATATACCAGATAGATATGGACAGATAGATAGGTAGATAGATAATAGATTAAGATAGGTAGAAAGATAAGATAGATTAATAAATTTTGCAGTCGCATTTTTTCAAAATCCCTAGCGAATTACACACCTCACCGGCAACACACCGCGCCGATCACCAAACAAACTCCGGCGCGCAATTGGAGAAACAGTGCAATCTCCTATTAAACTCTCAGGTTGAATACATACATAGTGTATTCATTTTGATGATGAAAATGTTCTGACAGCGGTTATAATAACCTGCTATAATTATGTTCGATTTAGTTTCACACAATCTGTGTATCTGAGCCAATATGTGTTGTTCAGTTCTCTCCTGCTTCTGTTGCTTCACAGGCAAAAACCCGTTTGAGGGTGACCTTGCCAGTCATAAGAAGAGGCTCAGTGATGCGCTGTTCTGTAACCAGGACATACTCGAGCACAAGGATCTGCGTGTGAATAACGGAGCGTCCCCTTACAGGGTGTTCCAGTTTGTGCAGCAGAAGCGGAGGCGGAGAAGAGGTACACGCGTACATGCGCTTATTTGTAAGCAAAGGGCAGAGAGAGAGGAAGAGAGAGGGGGCCGATGGAGGGAGAGAGAGAGAGAGAGTGGGAATGAGAGAGGTAGCTTGGGTCAGTAATTAAGGGAACCTGAGAGAGTGGATGGAGCAAGAGAGCAAATGAGAGGGTGAGATAGAGGGAGGAGGTTAGGAGAGAGGAGAGAGAGGGGTAGCAAAAAAGAGAGAGAGAGCAAGATAGAGAAAGCAGAGCAGTTCCGGAAGTTATCATAAGCATATCTGTAATAGGCACAGATGTGTCCTATTAATACTTACTGAAATGTTGATTTCAAATCAGATGATGAAATAATATGGTTATTATAACAGATCGATATTTTTATAAGTATTTCTACTAGGGGAGGAGGGAAGGGGATATTAGATTGTTTTCTGGAGTAATTGTTTAGACTAGAAGGGGTTTAGGAAATTTTTATAATTTCATTGTTAATGGTTTGCACATTATTATTACAGCTAATGTAATGGTTACTTTTCAGGATCAAGCTTGGGGCGAAAACATAAGAAGAAGCCCTTTCTCGTAAGTAGTTTTGTTTTGTAGTATATTCCATACTATATAGGCAAGATTTTATACATCATAAGTATAGACATATGATCATAGGACATGCAGAGCTATAAGAGCCACACATGGATTATTACAAGTCATGATAATTTACTATTCGAATAATTAGTTGTTTCACCAACAACGGTCATTAAATTTTTTGTTCCAAAAAAACTCACGTGGTCCAAATAAAACACCGTTCACTGTGTATATATTTCTGATATTATTTATTATTAACAATAGCATAATTATCAACCAATACCATTTAGTATTAACTCTTATAAACTCTTAAACTCTTATATGGCTGTTTTCAGTTGAAGAAATACAAAATTGGGCAAGGGTCTTCTTCTATCAATCATATGTCAGGAAGGAAGAAGGCTGTATCGCATGGAGCTGCAAAACCAGCAACTCCAGAAGCAGGTATGGTTTACGTATATCAAGGGTAAATTTTAAAAAAACAGACACAAATAATATTCTAATATCTAATTATATTAGAGAAAAAAATAAATAAACATCGATTATTTCTATGGTTAAGAGGTGCAGTTATCCTAGAATAATACAGGATGTAATTATTGCACTGCCGCGTGGAACAGCGATCATTTAAAAAAAAACTACTATTATCCAACATCATGTTTTGATGTGTTGAATTGCGAAGTAAACCAATTAAGAAAATTAACGAGCCAAATGTTTTTGTTTCGCATTGCTGACAGATTGCGGGTCGCGAGTGGACTACCACCCTCTGATGAAGCTTAAGTATTCATACGTGAGGCAGGCCGGTGACACTTGTGAACAGATGATGGACTTACGCGGCAGCATGAAAGGACCGCCGTTACTAAAAGTACGATGCTAACGTGTGTTCACGTGTTCGCACGGATCGATCGACCGCTGTGTAGTCATCAAGAAATACTTTTCGATGTCGTGTTGTCACTGCAGCTGGAAAATCTCTGGTTTCGAAAATATATACAATTGAAATTACAAGATAAATAGAAAGTGATACATTCGAATCGCCTTAATTTTACTCTAATTAATATTCTTAAACACTAGCAAAAGATAAGAAGTGTTCAACTCATGATTTTTATACGCACAAAAAGCATCCACACCATTTTCCATTTCTGCTCCATTTCCAATTCATTTCTGTCCCTCGCCAATCCATTTCTGTCCATTTCCAATCCATTTCCAATTCATTACTGTCCCTTTCCAATCCATTTCTGTCCATTTCCAATCCATTTTCATCCAGTTCTATCCATTGCCAATCCATTTCTGCCCATTTAATCTGATTTCAGGCATTAATAATGAGAAGAGATTCATCTACGACATCATTGTCTTGTCTCTGCAGTGTTTCTTCTGCGCCCGTAAGCTCGAGAACAATGTACAGCTGATGGAACATTACGAGGCGCACATCGCTCGCAATCAGTCGTTCGTGAGTGAGATTGAGGACCTCACTGTGTGTAGACGCTGCTGCATCAGCCTAGACACGCCCCACGACCTACAGACCCACCTCAACGAGGTACACTATACGGGTGGGTGGTTGGGTGTACAGGTGGGTGAGTGAGATAGAGGACCTCACTGTGTGTAGACGCTGCTGCATCAGCCTAGACACGCCCCACGACCTGCAGACCCACCTCAACGAGGTACACTATACGGGTGGGTGGGTGGTTGGGTGTATGCGTGGGTGAGTGAGATTGAGGTCCTCACTGTGTGTAGACGTTGCTGCATCAGCCTAGACACACCCCACGACCTGCAGACCCACCTCAACGAGGTATCAACAGTGTACGGATGGGTGCATGGGTGGGTGTTTAGGCAGGCAGGCAGGCAGGCAGAGTCACCTGAACGACGTGAGCGAGGGTGCGGGGGGTTATCACATGCGCATAGGTGTACGGATGGGTGCATGGGTGGGTGGATGGATCGGTTGGTGGGTGGGTGGCTGGGTAGGTAGATAATTAGATAGATAGATAGGTAGGCAGGTAGGTGGGGGATGGATGGATGGGTGGATGAATGGGTAAATGTGTCACTGACATCAACACCGCCTAACGTTTGCCATCATCATCGTTGCTGTCATCACGTTGCCATCATCATCATCATCATCATCATCATCGTCGTCGTTGCCGTCATCGTCGTTGCCGTCATCATCATCATCATCATCACCATCGTTGGCGTCGTTGTTACAGGTGCATCAGCTGACGGCGTCTACATCGTGTCTCATCTGTCTGCGTAACCTCGGCAGCGAGGCGGGACTCCTCGTCCACATGAAGCAGACGCACGTCTCGGGCGAGACTCCGTACACCTGTGAGGTCTGCCGCTTCCGCACGTCACAGTACCGAGACCTCACCGCCCACTATAGACAGGTGAGAGGTTACGTGCGGCCACTATAGACAGGTGAGAGGTTACGTGCGACCACTATAGACAGGTGAGAGGTCACGTGCGGCCACTATAGACAGGTGAGGGGGGATGGGTTTAGCGGGTTAAGGCCGTAGGATCAACACAACGTTGCTGTGTATTTCTCGATCGCTGTAAAACGTGACAACTCCGGAAGGCAATTGCTTATGGACGAACGTTCGTCACGTGCGCGTCATGCTCTGACGTGTCGTGCCGTAACTCGTCGTTCCAGGTGCACACCAGAGGGCAGTACGTGCTGTGTCCATACTGCCTGCGCGCGTTTCGCTCGAACACGAACAACGCTCACTACATTATTCACCTTCGCAAGCATCTGAACAAGGGAGTGAAACCGTGCGACAGCTGCAGTCTGGTGTTCGTGTCGGCAGCAGACCTGATCAGTCACCGCGCCACGTGTCACGGCGTCGCCAGCGTCACCACCGACAAAACCGGAGGTAACGTTCGCTTGTTTGTATGAATCGTCAGCACTTTCGCGGCGAAATGCGATAAGGTGTGGTCGCGGCGATTCTTCTCGGTTGTGCTTCATTCACTGGGGTGAGGTATTCACATGTTTCACAGGTTTGAAGGGGAAATTTTCAAAATCGGTGCTTTCTATTATATTTAGTGGTTATAGAGGACTTTTTATGAGAACTTGGGCATCTTCATAAAAGAAATTCCACGCAATATGAACTACCTTAACAAATCATTAAACCGACTTGATACCATTTACGCTAGTGGCACAAAGCCAATGAGATTTCCATATGCAAACTTGTCCACTGAGAAATATGTGGTAAAAAATTCAATGTCCGCAAATGTCTGAGTAACTACCAAATTAAGCAAGTATTAATTAATAAAATGCAGCGTAGCACACGGTGTTTACTAACAATGTTAGGATTATTCTGTATGTTTTTGCATTTCGTGTTAACAGAGACTACGGTGGAAGTTGTGGAACTTTGTTTGAATCACAATGCAGAGAAAAAGGGAAGCAATCAAAACGGTAAGAATTGCCTTTGAACTTTTAATTCTTCAATAGCAAACGGAAGCAAAAGTGGAAAAGTTATTGTGACCGCTGACATGGCTCTTAGACTCCATTTGCCTTATTGTGCTGCCTGCATGCATGCTTTCTTGTCTACCCACCTGCCTGTCTACCTGCATGCATTCTTACTTACCTGAATATCAATCAATCATGTTTATCCTCACCAGGTGACGATGGAATGCTGACATGCCTGAATGTGTTGCCACCGCGTAAGGACTATGTTGGCCTGCGACTGTTCATACCAACAGACATTTGCTGCATAGAGTGTGACTACCCCATGAGCCGAATGAACCATTTCATGTAGGTAGTCGTGCGACAGTACATGTACAGTACATGTAGGTAGTCGTGCGACAGTACATGTACAGTACG